TTTTTTTTTTTTTTTTTTTTTTTTTTTGAGACAGAGTCTCGCTCTGTCACCTAGGCTGGAGTGCAGTGGTGGGGTCTCAGCTCACTACAACCTCTGCCTCCTGGGTTCAAGTGATACTCCTGCCTGAGGCTGCCAAGGAGCTGAGACTACAGTTGCCTGCCACCACACCCAGCTAATTCTTTGTATTTTTAGTAGAGATGGGGTTTCACCATGTTGGCCAGGCTGGTCTTGAATTCCTGATCTCAGGTGATCCACCCGCCCTGGCCTCCCAAAGTGCTGGGGTTACAGGCATGAGTCTGACCAGGCCTTTTCTTTTTGAGACAGTGTCTTCCTGTGTTGCCCAGGCTGGAGTGGAGGTGGCGCAGTGATGGTTCACTGCTGCCTCAAACTCCTGGGCTAAAGTAATCCTTCCACCCCAGCCTCCCCAATAACTGGGAGGACAGGTGTATGCCACCACTAGAACTATATTTACATTTTTTTGTAGAGATGGGAACTCGCTATGTTGCCCCAGCTGGTCTCAGATTCCTGGGCTCAGGCTATCCTCCTGCCTCGGCCTCCCAAAGCGTTGGGATTACAGGTATGAGCCACCGTGCCTGGCCACAGCAGGTCTTTTGTTTTTTTAGAGAGGGTCTCACTTGGTGGGCCAAGGTAGAGTGCAGTGGTGCAATCACCGCCCACAGCAGCTTCCAACTCCTGGGCTGGAGTGATCTTCCTGCCTCAGCCTCTCCAGTAGCTGGGACTATCGGCACACGCCACCACGCCCTGCTAATTTATTATGTATGTATGTATGTGTGTGTGTGTGTGTGTGTAGGTATGTATTTTTTGAGACAGAGTCTCTCTCTGTTGCCCAGGCTAGAGTGCATTGGCCAGATCTTGGCTGACTGCAGCCTCTGCCTCCCAGGTTCAAGCGATTCCCCTGCCCCTGCCTCAGCCTCCAGAGGAGCTGGGCTTACAGCCGTGCACCACCATACCCAGCTAATTTTTATATTTTTAGTAGAGAGAGGGTTTTATCATGTTGGCCAGGCTGGTCTCGAACTCCTGACCTCAAATGATCCGCGCACCTCGGCCTCCCAAAGTGCTGGGATTACAGGTGTGAGCTACCGCGCCCAGCTGCTAATGTATGATGATGATGATTCTGTAGAGACGTAGTCTAGACATGTTGCCCAGGCTGGTCTTGAACTCCTGGGCTCAAGCGATCCTCCCGACTCTGCCTCCTAAAGCCCTGCGGTTACAGGCGTGAGCCATCGCGCCCTGCAGCTGCAGGTCTTTATAAGGCAGCTGTGGGCCCTGGACCGCTACCAGAAAATCTTCCTTCCAACCTCCTCCCTCCTCCGTCACCTGGTCTACCCCGAATCTTCCCCACTCGTCCCTCTCGCCCTCTCCGAGAGATGAGGGACCCGAGAATAGCACCCCGCCTCCGTCCCCACCGCGCCGCCCCGCAGCCCACGCGCTTCTTGAAAGGACCACCCTTGAGGCGGATTCCTGGTCCAGCTGGGAGCGGCGACCCCTGAACCAGCACCCGCGCGGGCCGTTCCATTCCGGCCGGGGGGGGACCTGGGAGGGGACACGCGGAGGGCGCCCCCCAGGGGACTGCCTCTATCGAGACCTTCTCCAGCCCAATAGGGGGACGGGAAGGAGACTTGTGTGGGGGCCTCGGCTGGCGGGCCGCGGGTTCCTCGTCCCCCGCCTTGGCGCCTCTCCGCCCCCTGCCCCTCCCGGCATTGGTTGGCGCCAGGGCAAGCGGAGGCTCCACCCTTACTGAGTGGGTTCCTGCCGCACTCGCGCAGACGTCGCGCGTCCAGGCGGGAGGTCGGTGTGTCCTGGGCTTCTGCTCCCCGGCGGCTGTGGCAGCCCGGAGCCATGGCTCTCACCGTCCGAGTCGTTTATTGGTAAGCGCAGCGGGCAGCGGCGCCCCCGTTTCCGACCGCCCCTGGGACCCGATCCTCCGCACGCTCGGAGCCGGGGTCTGGGGGCGTCGGGGCGAGGACCCGTGGGGACCCCTCTATGGGAAAAGCGATTCCCGTGTGGGTGGGGTGGGGTGGGCGTGCGGAGCGGCGAAAGGCAGAGGGCGGTGGTCCCCGGGACGCCTCTTCGGCTTGAGACGCGCTGGGCATCCCGCGTTCTAAAACGTGGGGCTGAGACGGGTGTGCGTCAGTTTCCAGCCCCCCACTCCGGGGCTGCGCTGGGGGAAGGGCTGGCGGTCAGCTTTGTGAAGGGACCCCAGGCTCCTCCACCTTAAGTCTTCCCCTCCCCCAGTATCCAGAACAGTCACGGGGTGGAGACGGTGAGAGCCCAGAAGGTTCGAGAATGTCTCAGCCCGTGTTTCGAAAGCCCTTGAATTGTAGCCCTCTGCCCAATGGTTTCCCTTGGCCACGAACCCCTCTCCGTTTCTGGCCTGAGTTTTCCTGTCTGTGGCGAGAGGGAGGCTGTGCGTCAGCACCGAACCCGTTTAATTTCTCCAAGTCTCAGGAAGGATGTGATAGGATAGGATATAAATTACTTCACATCCTCCCCACTCGCCAGCACCAAATACTATGCTGGCATTCAGTTAGGTATATAATAAACACATGTTCAATGAATTCATCCTCCCACAAATCCCTCGAGAGGGGAATTTTAGGCCAGGTACCGTTGATCACGCCTGTAATTCAAACACTTTGCCGGGGCGGGGGGCGAGGCGGGTGGATCGCTTGAGCCCGAGTTCGAGGCTAGCTTGGGCAATACAGGGAGATCCCCATCGCTACAGAAACTTAGAAAGTTAGCCGGGGGTGGTGGCATGCACCTGTAGTCCCAGCTACCCCGGAGGCTGAGTTAGGAGGATTGCAGGAGCCTGGGAGGCGGAGGTTTCCATGAGCTGAGATCGCAACACTGCACTCCGGCCGAGCGAGACTCTGCCTCAAAAAAAAAAAAAATGTGAGGGGAATTTTAGTTCTATCTTACAGGCGAGGGGGCGGGGGCGGGGGTGGGGGTCACGTCAGTAGTTTCAAGTCTGGACTGCAGGTGACAGGGGTAACTGGAACCCCGGTCTGCCCGCAGCTTTCGAATGTCTCTGCCTGCTCGACAAAGCAGAGGCAAGAGTGACATTTTGAGACGCCCACCGGGCCTGTGCAGCAGACTCGTCCCAAAACAGCCTGCTGTGGGGTCGGCTGAGCTTGTGTTTCCTCCTGGGGACTGGGCAGGTGTTCAGAATCCTGGAGCCGCTGGGCCCTGCGCAGTGGCTCATGCCTGTAATCTCAGCACTTTGGGAGGGGAGGCCGCCTGGTCCCCTGAGGTCAGGAGTTTGAGAACAACCTGGGCAGCAGGGCGAAAATACAAAAATTAGCCGGGCGTGGTGTAAGAATCCAGTAGCCACAGGGTTTTCCTTGGAGTGCTGTGGGTGGGGACGTCATTTGCGCTGTGCTCCTAATCCAGTTCTCCTGGTTTTTCCTCTGTCCCTGTCTGTCTCATCCTTGTGGCGTCCCTGTCTGCTCTCTCCCCCCTTCTTCCCCTCCCCCTCTCCATCCCTTGCGTGGTGTTGGTTTTCTGTGTGTGTGTCTGTGTGTCCTGCTGCCACCCCGTGCTGTGTCCCAACACTCTGCCTGGCTGATGCCATCTGTCACCACCTCTGCTTGGTCATCTGTGTTCCTCTTTATTTCCTCCTGGCCCCACCTTGCTCCCCACCCCCCACACTGCCTGTCTCTCCCCTCCTCTTCCGGATCCCCCACTTCTCCCTCTCTCCCCTGGGCCCCGCTTTCTTGGACTCTCCTCCCAGTGGCGCTTGAGGCTACAAGTCCAAGGTAAGCAGGGTGGGCGTGGTGGGGGGGAAGTTCCCGGAAGCTGGGGACGGGGAGAGTGCCTATCAGGAGGGAGGCTAACTGGTAGGACCCCTGCCGTGACCTCCCACCCCATTTTCAGTATCTTCAGCTCAAGAAGAAGTTAGAAGATGAGTTCCCTGGCTGCTTGGACATCGTGAGTCTTGGGAGGGGGAGAAAGACTTGAGCACAGGCACTGTGTTGGTCCCTTAGGCCTGGATGGCATTGGGGGTGGGGGGTGTTAGGTAACCCCCTGGGAAGGGGAGGGTCTCCCCAAGAGGACATTTCAGCCCCTCCAACATCCTCTCTCCCTTCCTCAGTCCGGCGAGGGAACTCCCCAGGCCACCGGGTTCTTCGAAGTAACGGTAGCTGGGAAGTTGATTCACTCTAAGAAGGTACGTCCGTCTGTCTGTCTGTCTGTCTGTCTGTCTGTCTGTCTGTCTGTCTGTCCGTCCGTCCGTCTGTCCTGCCTTGTTTTGGCGCTAGCGTGGGTTGCAGCTGAGGTTGGTGTCACGGTCCCAGCTCATCCCTTCTTTCTTCCTCCCCTCCCTAGAAAGGCGATGGCTATGTGGACACGGAAAGCAAGTTTCTGAAGCTGGTGGCCGCCATCAAAGCCGCCTTGGCTCAGGGCTAATGTGCCCTGAAGGCAGAGGTGAGAGGGAGGGGCCCACTAGACAGGGAACCACCCTTTGGATCCTTCTCCCAGCCCCATTCTCTGACTCCTTGACCCAGGGTGGAGAGCCTAGGAGATGAGGGGGACATCTCGGGGGTTCCCAGAGCAAGCAGGATGAAGTTAGACAGACCTGGGTGATGAAGGATGACAACTGAGATGGAGTCAGAGGTGTGCAGGGTGACGGGGTGTGCAGGGTGAC